CCGTGCTTTGCACGCCCCTTGCCCGCGGCGATGGCCCCGCGGGCGGGCCGGGGGAAGGCTGCGCAGCGGTGCGCCCCGCCGCCCCATCGCCTCACGCTTCTAAAATGGCTGACAGGGAACGAGCTTCTCGGCTCCGCTTCTCTCGACTCCGGGGATCTCTCTGGTGGTTTCGTTTATCTGTTTGCTCGCTCGGGGGGTTTTGCTGGGGTTTTGTTTATGAGGGGGTTTTGTTTGTTAGCCGCTACAGCGCGTGGACCGCGGGCACCTCGGCTTTGAGGGCCGGCTGCGCGCCCGCTCCCGCAGCTGCGTTGGGCCGGCGGTGGGAGCCGGTTTGTGTGGAAGAGGGCGGGTCGTGCCTGCTGTTCCCCCCTCTGCCATCCCTCCCGGCCGCCCGGCGGGGCCCGGCCGGCTGCTGGCGAGCTCCCGGACCCCGGATGCTCCAGGGCAAGGGAGCGCTTGGAGGGGGAAGTTGGGGGTTCGGCCGCGCTTGTGCCGCAGCGTGTTCGCAGAGCCTGGTGGTTGTGTGGTACGGAGAACTTCGCCTCGGAACTTGGGCTGGCTTAAATAAAGAAACAAAGAGCTGCGTCCCCCCCGCCCCAAAACAGCACCCAAACTCCCGGCGCTGTTTTCGCCTCCCCTCTGCAAACGGCAACGAAGAAAAAAACACCAGCGGCTTTTAAAGTTTTTGAAATGCAAAGCTGCCTAGAATATAAAGGTTTTTGGTTGCAATTTCTGTGTTCCCGTGGTCAAAACCAGTTTTTAATTCGGAGTAGTGTAATTTGCTCTAAGCTCTTTCAAAAGGGAATGAAAACTTGAAAAATGGCCAGCTGCACATAAACAGTGTCTTGCTGTTTTCATTTGTTTGCACAGTCTCTTGTGCATCGGGCCTCCGAATTACCAGATTAGCGCTTCAAAAGTGATAGTGTTTATTAATTTCTTAAATCTGAGTGATTAATTTCTATCTAGGAGGACAGTATCTGTTCAGTTTGTAGCGTGGAGTTGTGCCCTGGTGAAGGTTTTGCTGTGATTATGATGGGGCCAGGTTCTTCACTTGCAGAATCCGCTGTCATTTCACAGACGAGGGGAACCAGAAAGGTGCTTCTAGTGACATCTCTCTGATACAGCAAGTGGTTAAATTTCACACTTCTGCTGAGCATACTGCACTTTCAGATAAAACTCTAACCAGAGTATTTAAGTCTCTGGAACAGTGTGCCACAACAGATGAGACTGTATTGTTACTCAGATTGCCTGCAATTACAGGAAATCCATTAGGTGCTCCGTGTTCCTAGAAGAGTCCTATTCTTTAGGAAGTAGTGCCTTCCCCAAGCCTAGATTAAGCTGTAGAATTCCTTCCTGACCCCAGGTTTGGTGGTCAGTTTGACACCAAGTGTATGAGCAAGACACAAGCTGCATGTTCCAGAAAATTATTTTTTTTCTTATTACCTTGGAATCCAGACCTGCCCTGGATGATGTTTGTTTCCAGATAGCCTACCAAATTCGGCTTGTTTTTCTGCTGCTAAACAAACAAAATACATCTGGCTAATTGTACACTGGGGAACAAATCCTCCTGACCCTATCCAGACACTGACGGAAGCATGTCATTTGACTATGATTTCCTTAATGTGGAGCTGTAAATTCTAGCAGCTGAGGATGACATACAAGATCTGCCTTAACTTTGTTTTCCTTGTCTAGAAATGAGACTTGTAAACATTTATTAACCAGGTCAAAAGGCGGTCTGATCTCACAGTAGCTACTTAAAAGTTCTTGCACTGCTGTCAGGGGATGAACACGCTTGAACGAAGCTTGAAACACTCTTAAAATAGCTTGCTAGGAGGGGATGCTCAGTACAGATGAAAATTCCAAAAACAAATGAGCGCTCTTGAGGGACGAGTCTTTGACATTCTCCTTGACACATTTCTATCTTTTGTCTTCAGAACTGCAGACCTGCACCTAACAGTGTGCAAAATTCTCTTGAGTAAGCTTTTTTTGAGCTTTTGTGTTTCAGAGCATCAATAAAAGCAGATCTGGTACAGTAGCATTGTCTGAAGATTGGTAGAACAGGGTGTACAATCCATGCAGGATTAACAGCAGTGAAACAAACAATGCCATGTAGCTCTAGAGGTACTGTAATTCTTCAAGTCTGGGAGCTTATTCTCAGATCTTGGGGTGGGGGCAGTGGGTGGAAAGGAACTGAGGGCCCTTGTAAAACTCGATACCTTTGCGGTAAGTGCAAGATCCACTCTTTGAACTTTGCCTTCTCGAATACAGCTGCATTAGAAACAGATTTTCCCCTGCCCCTCCTCAACTTCAATTGCCTATGCAGCTCTTTGCAGGAAAGGGGACAAAATAAACCACATCTGACAAATGCATTATTCATATCACATCGTTGCTGGAAAACCCTTAGCTTCAAGTGAGGTTTGAAGGCAGTGTGGGAATGTATATTGGAAGAAAGAATTCTGGTAAACTGAAAAAGGTCACATCTCCAAAACAGCATATATGGGACATTAGTTTTCCCTTCTCTTACATTGTTTCTGTAGGAAAATAAATAGATCTGGATCACAAGTGTAAACATGAAAAATATTACAACATTTTATGAAGCTTTCTTATATGAACAAAGTCCTGGGAGGCATTCTGGACTAAAGTAAAAGGAAAGCCCTAAGAAGAGGATCAACAGAATTGTACTATCACAATTTTATTACCAAGAACTTAAAAAATGTTTGAGCTAGAGATATTAGTAAACTAGTTGAGATTAATGAATAAAGCCAAATACTCTGAAATGTTGAGAAAATAAAAATTCATGGAACGAGCTTTTGGGCTAATTCTTTGACAGTCTCGTTCTGCTGCTTTTCCCAGCACAGTGCCTTGAAGACTGCCACTCTGCCACTGCAGGATTATTCTCAAATACATAATCTTCCAAGGACTTAGCAAAGAGCATTTGCAGCTAAAATATGCTGATGATACAGCATAGAAATACTCTGATCTTGCCAAAATTTGCCCAGTAACCCCTGATGCAGATACTAATCGGAAATTAATCAGGGAAGGTAAGACAGGAAGAGGCAAGAAAAGTAGGGGATGTGTCATGGAAACAATGTCTTAAAAAAAAAGGTTTTACAGAAGGCAGTGGTCTTATGCTTTAGAGTATGTTACTTAAAAAGGAGTTGAAAAATCCAGAGTGCTAATCCTGTCTCTGCATAAATCACTGCTCGGTATTATGGCATGTAGTGAAAGTGTCTCCATAATTACTGTAGGCAGCCATTACAACTCTGTTTCTGTTGTTGGGATGGTGCTTCTATGCCATAATTCTTGGCCAAAATGCAGAAACCTCCTAGTGAAGGGTCTTAGGCCACATTTCATTTTCCATTTTGCTCATTGTCTTTACAATAGGGTGTTTTATGACCCAGTTTCCCAAAAAACAAACAATGTGCAGTAATTTAACATTTCTCCCTACAATAGATCTTTGGAGAGCCAAAGATGGTTCTGAGCATAAAGTCAGTTTCTGAGCTGAAGTCTTCAGACATTATGTAAAGGCCACTCAGTAGATTCGGCCCTCCCAGAAATCTTCGTGCCCTCGGTGACTCGGGCTATTGCTCCTTTCTGCCAGGTTCATTGGCAACCTTTTAAAACTGTTTTTTTTCTTTTTTGGGGTGCTCAACATGGCACATCTTTACCACATCCAGCTTTGTGCATGGAAGCTGTGGATTCATATGTATTGTGGCTGACCATTGGATAACTGCATGTGCAGAGAGTTCAGTGTGAAAGTGTAAATGTTAAGAATTTTAAATTTTAATTAAATCAGCAGCTTTCTGCATTTTTTCCTTATAAGAACATTATTACTCTGACCTTTAAAATTAACCTTTTTTTTTTTCACTTTAGCTTAATCTTGCCTAAAGCATACTAAAATAGACATTTTTAACACAGAGTGGAGGGATCCACCTAGGAAATACTGTTGAGCAATAGCTAATGAGCACTATTTTGCTGTGCAGATAAACCCTTGGATTTTGTGTAATTGGTGTTAACCGTTTCTGAAATAAAGGCATTAACTTTACAGGTTTTTCACATATATATAAAAGTTACTGTATCCACTAAAAAATAGTAATTTGCTTATTATTTTGATGTCAGGAAAGCATGTTTTCCCACTTCATGGAACGTCTCAATAGCTGGGTGATTTAGGATTGTTTTGTTTGTTTTCAATTTCTTTTTTTCTTTCAGGAGTTTCCATATTCCCTTTATAGGCTTTCTCCAGCCAAGTTTCTATAGGCCTTACACCAGATGCTGTTGGGGAAGGAGCAGTCTTTGTATTTTCCTCTATTTTCTGTGATGCAACTAGGTCATTAAACCAACCAGCTTCTGCTATCTGTCAGAACATTGTTGAGATTAAGACATGATTATTTAAAAGAGGACCAGAAGTAAAACATCCTAATAAAGTGGATTCTCTCCTCCTTCTCCCAGATATTGCTAAAATTTTAATGAAAATCCACCAAACCATAGATGAAAACCCCCCAGTTTCAGGCACAAAGAGGGTTCGTTCTGTCACTTTATTTGATTTTATGGGTACCCAAAAATATGAATTAGTGTAAATTGAGTTTTACTGAACAAAATTTGTGTTGTTAATGAGGGACTTCTCCTAAGAAAAGAAGCCTTGTGGCTGCTATCTTCCACTGCATGCTTTTACATTATGAATTTGTGCTACTGGTTAAGTAGTGCAGCTTCCTGAAAATAAGGTAACTGCAGTCTTGAGACTCTTGGCTCCTAAAGCTATTCCTTAAAGCCTGCCAGCAACTGAGAAAACACTAAAAAAACCAGGATCTCTAAAACTTTGTGGTGCTCCTCTGACAATCTCTTGCTATTTTTAAGTGAGTTTAGGGATTTGGAATTACAAAGTTCAAAATGCGATCTGGAGGAGCTTGTGTCATCCCCCAGCAATGGACGTGAACCCGTGGGACAGAGGAGTTCTGTCAGTGCTCTGTATCTTTTCTGATCTTCACTTCCTTTTCTGTCTCTCATAACTTCCCGACCCGAATAACAAATGTAAAGGCTTGGTTGAGAAATAAAACTGTTTCCCAGAAGAATGATATTTAATATTTCAAACAGGATGTATTCTGCCAGACCTTTGTGATAACTGCTTGGTCAGCTGTTTGTATCATTCACGTTTTTGGCTGGCTGAGCAAGAGCTGATGGCTGTACCACACAGCTCATGTGAGCTCAGTGCAGGGATGACTAGAAAGACAATGTGAGTACTTTCTGCAGTTCTAAGTAGATTCTCTTCAGTTTCCCAGACTTCCACTTGGCTGAGACCCCTTGCCCTAAAAATGTATCAGAGAACTTTTTTTTCCCCCTTAATATCATCATATGGAAAAGTCTGTAATTAGATGATGCTTTATTTAGTGCAGTATCTAGAAAAACTATCCTGCACTGTAATGTATCTTTACAGTAAATGCCAGAAGTACTTATCTTATGTTCACTCCTGTCCTCTGTGCTGCAGTACTCTTTTGGTGAGCTTCAAGAAACTGGTTTAAATATTAACAT